AGATAACTCAGTGAATCGTGGTGTCATTAAAAGAATAGAAGCAAATGGGGCAAACAAGTCAGGGTTAAGGGCCCGGCGTGGTGGCCTAGCAGCTAAAGTCCTCGCCTTGAACGTGCCGGAATCCCACATGGGCGCTGGTTCTAATTCCGGCAGCCCCACTTCCCATTCAGCTCCCTGCTAGTGGCCTGGGAATGCAGTCGAGGACGGCCCAAAGCCTTGGGACTCTCCACCTACGTGGGAAACCCAGAAAGAAGTTCCTGGGTTCTGGCTCTGGATCGGCGCAGCACTGGCCGTTGCGGCCACTTGGGGAGTGAACCACCTGACAGAAGATCTTCCTCTTTGTCTCTCCTCCTCTCTATATGTCTGACTTTCTGTCACTGTCCCTCAGCAATGGACTTGGTACACGGAGCCGATAATAATATGCGTGAACCCTGACTGATGGTCAAAGCAGAAGTTTATTAGTGGCATCAGACTTTATACACTGAGGGTCATATGGGATAAGGGAGGAGGTATTGAGCTTATCAACAAAACCCATTAACTGTTTCCTTAAGATAAGGATCCAAGTCTGATTAGTGTTTAGTGCTGATCCACCTGATTCTTGGTAGCCTGACCCGCCTTCCCTCCAGATGGGTTCATCATCAGGAATTCAAGAAAAAAGAGGCAGGGCATGTTCCCAAAGTCCCAAGAAGATTTACAGAGAGTTTTGAGTACACAGGAATGTGTGGGAAAGGCTTACAGGATTTGGGCTAGAAAGGTCAATATAGAGAAAGTTCAAAACACGGCCACTTCGAATGATTGGAGTCATCTGCTGTCCACACCGAGAGACCTGGCTCACTGTCTAGGAAATAACTTAAGTTTTTCTAAGCCAGACACCAAACACGATGTATAGCCTCATATTTGCTTGCCTTGTTACCTATAGCATCTAATATTTCAGTGGCAATAGGTTTCCAGTAGTTTCCACACACTCCATCTTCACAACCTTCTGACAAGCACTTCCTGTATTTATGGATGGAGAAAGTGCTACTGGGCGCCACGGTGTCAGCTTTTGGAAAGGAAAAAACAACAAAAACTCAGCCTACCACTGCCAACCACCTGCCACTCTGGTTGAAAAGTTCTTCTGCCATCATACTGCATTTTGGAACCGGTTAGCCTCTATTTCCAAATGACTGAGTGCCTGACCACAAGCTTTACAGGAAAGTGGCACAATCACTTCAGAAACATTTCTGGGAATCATTGCGCACTGTGCAAAGCCCAGCAGCCATGCAGTCTTCCAGCAGGGTCTCCTTAGGCAGGGACGCGAACGGGTTTGTGTTGGGCGATTTTGTTTCTCTCTCAAAAATAACACTTGTTGATTAGAATTTTTAAAATTTGTTTTATTTACGGGACAAAGAGAGAGAGAGAGAGAGAGAGAAGGCATGAATCTCTCTTGCCCACTGGTTTATTCCGCAGGCCACGGCCAAGAGTGTGGCTGCCCACCCATCCCAGTGGCAGTACCCACTGGGCCCACGTATTTCAGCTGCCTCCTGGGTTGCACGTTAGCTGGCAGCTGGAGCAGGGAGCGGAGCTGCCAGACAGATCCAGGCGCTCCCATACGGGATGTGGGCATCTGAGGGAGCACTGGACCTGCCGTGCCAAATTCCTACCCCGCCGGTTACTCACACCACAAAACGTTCAAGGAAGACAATGAGCTCACCACCCAAAGACAGGTACCAACAAGGCTTGAGTGTATACCATGCTAGCTATTTCATTTTTGTTCACAGTTGTTGTACACATACACACCTTTTGAAAACAAAATTTGATAAAGTATATAAATTATTAATTTCTTTTTTAAAAAGGTTTAATTATTTTCATTGGAAAGGCAGATTTACAGAGAGAAGGCGTAGGCCCTGGTCTCCCAAGGGTTAACGCCACAGCTTAGCTTGTTTCTCAAGGTGTAACAGGATGGGCAATCTTGGCCTGATACATTTAGCCCCTGGCTTGACCGCAAATTCCCTCTTCCCTGCTTCCCCCTTTTAAGATGCCCTCAGGAGAGCTCAGGAGATGCTTGAGCATTGGGAAAATACTAGGAGGAAGCAGGCAGACTGTAAAAGAGGCAGGTTAACCACAAATAAATGGCATTCTCTTTACAAGAATGACCCACTGTATGTTGTCTTTTTTGTAACCCTAGTCCCTCTGCTAGGTTCGGGGTAGGAGGTGAAGCGGGTGTTGCCAAAAAGAAGGAGAAACAGAAAAAAGAATGTTCCGTCCATTGACTCAATCCCCAAGTGGCCTCAATGGCTGGAGCCCAGTCATTCCAAAGCCAGGAGCCAAGAACTTCCTCCAGGTTTCCTACATGGGTGCAGGGTCCCAAGGCTTTGAGCCGTTCTCAACTGCTTTCCCAGGCCACAAGCAGGGAGCTGGATGGGAAGTGGGGCTGCTGGGATTAGAACTGGTGTCCATATGGGATCCTGGCATGTGCAAGGTGGGTACTTTAGCCACTAGGCTACTGCACTGGGCCCTATTAATTTCATTTTCATATCATCTGTTTTGGCCTTTTCTTTTTTTAAAAAGATTTATTTTTATTGGACAGTCAGATATAGAGAGAGGAGGAGAGACAGAGGAATACCTTCTGTCCAATGATTTATTCCCCAAGTGGCTGCTACGCCTGGAGCTGAGCTAAAGCCAGGAGCCTGGAGCTTTTTCCAGGACTCCCACACAGATTGAGGTCCAGGCTTTGGGTCATCCTCCACTGCTTTCCATGGCCAGTAGCAGGGGGCTGGATGGGAAGCAGGTCTGCTGGGATTAGAACCGGTATGCATATGGGATCCTGGTGTGTGCAAGGTGAGGATTTTAGCCACTAGGCTACTTGGCTGGGCCCTGTTAATTTCATATTCATATCATCTGTTCTGGTCTTTTCTCTGAGTTTTAAAAACCGTAGATGGTGAATACATTACTTTAACATTCGCCTACGGTCCCATTTTATAGATGCATATGTTGGACAGCCCTTTCTGGTGGTGACCTGACAAACATCTGAGAGAAACTCAGGAAAAGGAAAAGCTTTCTTTCTAGTGAGCCCAACTCAAGCTTCTGCAACAATCCTCTCCCAAAAGCTCAAGAGCTCTCGCAGGAACTGGCCTCAGAGGGTACGCCCCCAGTGGCCGAAGGCCGCCCTCCCTGGCTCTGCCTCTGTAAGGTTCCCCCATCCCTCAACAGCAGCAGTCCAGGACACCAGGTCTGCCATACAGGTGGAAACTCAACGTGCACACCATGGCACTAACCCCCACTGCCACCTCCCTGACAAGCACAGGCGGCCCAACTCCCCAGGCCACTGCTTCCATTCCACTCACAAATAACTTCTCCGATCTTTTATCACTGCCCTTTCTTTCAATCTTACCATTTCATTTATGTATGTCTACCAACAAACTCTCTCGATTCGTGTCCTCTTTTTTCTGTAAAATATACCATCTATATGACTGATCTGTTTTCCCCTCAATATTACAGTTTTTGGTCCATCCATTTATTTTCACAGCTATGTTACTTTATTGTAGGACTCCCCTCATTGCTTACTCATGTTAGTACTGACAGACCTTTGTTTCCAGCTTTCTCTGATAAAGAACTGGCCTCGTGGCAGAACGGGTGAAGCCTCTGCCTGGGGCGCTGCACTCCACAGGGATCCAGCTGCTCCACTTTCCATTCAGCTACCTAATGCGCCAGGAAAGCTGTGGGGGATGGCTCAAGCGTTTGGGCCCCTCCATCCATGTGGGAGATTCCTGGCCTCAGCCTGGCACAACCCTGGCCATTGCAACTATTTGGGGAGTGACCCAGTAGATGGAGAACTCTGTCTTTCCTCCTTCTGTAATTCTGTTTCATATAAATATCTTTAAAAATCATAACACTTTTAGGGTCTGGCGTGATAGTCTAGTGGCTAAATCCTAGCCTTCCGTGCACTGGGATCTATACGGGTGCAGGTTCGTGTCCCTGTTGCTCCACTTCCCATCCAGCTTCCTGCTGTGGCCTGGGAAGGTAGTAGAGAATGGCCCAGAGCCTTGGGACCTCATACCTGTGCGGGAGACGTGGAAGAAGCTCCAGGTGCCTGGCTTTGCATTGGCTCTGTAGCTGTCCTGCAGTGATGGACTTATATACACTGAGGGTCATATAGGATGAGGGTGGAGGGTATTTAGCTCATCAACAAACCCATCAATTGTTTCTATGCTTTTGTTTGGAACTCCTTTTGTCTTGTATATTCCACCAAGTGTTCTCACACACATGAAGTCCACTCAACTGTTCTTATACAAATGAGATCCCGTCAGGTATACAAAGGATGCAGTGGGAAGGGGCTGCTGACAGCCACGGTGGCAAATGAAACAGTGCAGAGTGATTAACTGTCGGGGTCGTCAAACCTAGGCAGGGGTCTTCACTCACTGCGCAGAACGGCCGAGGCCAGGGCTCCCCAGGTGGCTGCCAGCGCGTGCCTCAGCTCCATCAGCTGCAACACAGGGACCTAAGTGCGCACACTCGATTCCAAAACCCTGCTGACTTGAGACACAAAGGAATGCCCTCGGTCCCTGGGCCTAAATCAAAGCCCATACAGGGGGAGAACTGTCCTTATTTCTTCCCCCTCACCTTGGGTTTACATCGCCTACTCTCCAAGAAGCCGCGAATTTCACCGCCCCGACGCTAGCTGCTTTCCAGCTGGAGCTCCAGTCTCCTCCCACCCTCCCCGCCCACTCCTCTGTCGTCCCGCCCACTCCGCGTGACGTCGCTCGTTCCCGGTTTATTTGGGTCTGTTCCTTCTTCCTGCCTATTCAGTTCTACCAACTTCTAGCCAACCAGTCACTTTTAGCAGACTTTGTCTTATTCACCAAATAGATTTAGATTTCGTTAGGAAGACAGCGATACGTTCCTCGTGTTCCTTTGAAGAAAAGCCGAGAGGAGAAACGGTAGAGACGCACCCGGCGCCGTTGAAGACAGCCCGCAGCCCGGAGTCTGGGTCCTTCACGTCGCTCCCGGGTCCTCGCCGACTCCCCGCGCAGGCGCACAGAGCCGACTCGCCATGCCGACCGTCAGCGTGAAGCGGGACCTGCTGTTCCGAGCCCTGGGCCGGACCTACAGTGAGTGCGCGTTCCTGGTCCGGGTTTCTCTGCCGGGTGCCCGTCTCGGGCTCGCCCTGCCGGGTGTCTGCCCCGGGTGCCTACTGCTGGGTGCCTTCCCCGGGTGCCTGCTAACGGGTGCCTGCTCCGGGTGCCTGCTCCGGGTTCCCTCGGCCGGGTGTCCGCTTCGGGCTCGCCCTGCTGGGTGCCCCCTCCCGGGTGTCTGCCCCGGGTGCCTGCCGCCGGGTTCCCTCAGCCGGGTGCCTTCCCTGGGTGCCTGCTGCCGGGTTCCTGCCGCCTCGGGTTCCCTCAGCCGGGTGCCTGCCCCAGGTTCCCTCTGCTGGGTTCCTGGTCCGGGTGCTCTCTGCCGGGTGCCCGCTCCGGGCTCGCCCTGCCGGGTGCCTGGTCCAGGTGCCTGTTGCCGGGTGCCCGCTGCCCGCTGCCCGCGCCGTGCCCTGAGGGCAGTGCCGGCGGGACCCGCGTAGTGACCGGGCGCCGGTCAGCTGGGTAGGGTTCTGGGAAGGCAGGGGTGGGAGGTGGGACCCCAGATTGGCATGCTGGCGTGGTGTGTTGGTGGACTGGGCTTGGGAAATCACACACAGGCTTGATTCCCAGGTTATGGTAAAGGACAGGTTATGGAAATGTTCTGGAACGGTTTCAGAAGACCTAGCCTTGCTGTCGCAGTTTCCCACTGTCTGGCCTGTCGCATCAGGCTGTCAGCTGGTCCAGGCTTGCTTGAGTTGGAGACTCTGCATCCCAGCTCACTCAGGCATTGTTCCATGCGGGATCACTGGGTGGTACCTGGAAGGCTGGCACCCCTGTTGTATTGCCCTAGTAAATGACACCTCCCTCACTTGTGCCCTCAAACCAGAGACCCGGAAGTCATCCCAGATGCTTCCCTAGAGGAAGATCTTCCATCCACTGGCTCACTCCTCAAGTGATCGCGACAGCCTAAGCTGAGCTGATCCGAAGCCAGGAGCTTCCTCTGGGTCACCCACATGGGTGCAGGGTCTCAAGTGTTTGGGCCATTCTCCACTGCTTTCCCAGGCCACATGCAGGGAGTTGGATGGGAAATAGAACATCCGGGACACAAATTGGCACTCGTATGGGATCCACCAAAATATACTGGTTATGATAGTTTTTGAAAGTGAAAAAAATCCTGAACATTCTACGCCAGGAAGCAGACTATAATCTTAAAACATGGAAGAAAGCTGTTAATTATTGCAGGCTTGCTGTGTTTCAAGGTACTATAGCTTCTGTGTAACCAGAATGGCTTCATTTAAATCTTCCCCACAATCCCATGCTGTGGATGACTGTGAAATGCCCCTGTGAAGATGAAGCGTTTGTAAAGACGGGTTCCGTGGGGTCCTCACTTCTGAGAAGCGAGTAGGGTAGGAGTCCAGCTGGCTTGGCCCGAGTAGGGTAGGAGTCCAGCTGGCTTGGCCCCAAGACCCGGTACCAGGCTACTTCGGATAGTTTTCAGAGATGGAGTTTCTATGACATTGCATTGTTTCGGATCTGATTTGAGGCCTACTTTGTATTTCATCCCTACTTAACGGGCTTTTTCCCTCTAAGGATCTGCAAACTTCCTGGTATGGGTAACATATGTTGATACTGGTAGTTTAATCAGTGATTTTACTTTTCTTTCCTGTTTTACTGTTTTGACTAAGCTCATTTGTTTACTTGCTTTTGAATGATAATGTCTAGAGTCCAGTATTTAATTTGTGATGTAAAGCAGTTAATGAGATGTAATGCATAAAAAATAAATAAGAAAGTGCAGGTTACATATGATTTTAATTTAGGGTGAATAGATAAGAACTAATGAACTCTTTTCTCTCCTAGCTGATGAAGAATTTGATGAACTATGTTTTGAATTTGGCCTGGAGCTCGATGAAATTGTATGTATAAGATACTTGTTTATCTCATGTCCTGTGTATAAACTCATTTTTTCAGGAGTTTGCTGTTATTGTCTCTGCTACATTATAGCTGGACATAGTGGGCCATGGAGATTTGTATGTTCTCTCTTCAGGGGATTAAACTCCATTTCTAAAAGAATCTATCACTTTGACTCAAATGTCAAAAGGCGTTCCTGCCTCGTTTACATACAATCTCTTCAGCTATGAGGCTAAGGTGGTGATGGGTTTAACAAGTCTGTCACAGTGGGAGTGTGAGCCCCCCAGCAGGCAGCTGCTTTTAAAGAAGGGATCTGTTGAGCTGTAGAGGTGTTGCCTCCAGAGTCTGGAGGGCCCTGCACCCTCAGCTCGTCCTCAGAGATTGTGTGTGATTGAAATATCAGCTGTCTGGTGGGGGGGTGTGACTTCTTTGGTTAGCAATGAGTATTTTTGAGAAAATCTGTTACTCCATGCTCTGAGGCTGTGGCTCTAGCATCCTAAAGCTCTGCCACGGCATGCCACATTTCCCCCCCCCCCCTTTTTTTTTTTATTTTGACAATCTTAACATAGTTTGGGTAAAAAGGGTCAAGGGCTACAGGAAAGTGGGTAAGACTATTACTTCCATATTGTTTCCTTCATGTATCTGAGGTAAAGGGGGATATTGAGGGAGAAGCCCCACCAGGTTTCCCACCCACCCCAAGTCCTGCATGTGGGGCATGCTCTGAGATATTCGCTCAAGTGGTTTCAGTGGTTCACCAGTTATGAATTGCTGCGAAACTTGCCTCTCCAAACACGATGAGGTTGTTGAAAAATCCACTGATTGACACTTGACATGGTCCATCATAGCATCTCCATTTGCCTGGTATTTTGCTGCCAACCTATAGCTGAGGTGGTTGATTAACTTGTTCCATCTTCTGTCCTTTCATGGTTAGGGTTCTGAATCTGGCATTTCAATTGGGGAGATTGCCAAAGAAACTTCGTCTGAGGTGTTCCCAGGCCAGTTTCTTGTATGCACCAGCAAGTACAGGGCCTGGCACAGTCCATCACCCTGGTCAGCTGGTGGTTGCAATTGCTGGGTTGGTTCTGTTTTCAGCCCTGCCTTCCACTGGAAGCAATGGGTGTTGCAGTCCAGCCTGGTTCTGCACAGCACATACTCGCCCTTGCATAAACCAGTGGGAGCTGCAGCCTAGTTGGAGCGACCCGCAATAACCCCCACCAGTCCCACCCCTGCCCTGGTTTGCCAGTATGTGTAGCAGACCAGTTCAGTCTGTCCCACATCCCCCTTGGCTCTCGTACACGGCAAATGGCATTGAAGCTTAGATCCATCTAAGCAACTCAACAGCTAAGCCCTCACGGGCATTGGTGAGTGCCTCTCTGTCTAGCCACCCCAGCCCCTGTCCTAGTTTTTGTGCCAACCCGTGGGAGTGATAACCCAAGAGGGGGGAACCCACTATTTCACTCCCAGGTCTCTCCTGGATTGTGCACTTTCCAGGTGGTTCTGCAGTTTAACTTGACAGGATTAGCCCCCAGTGCCAGTTTCTGCCAGCTGATGCTGTGGCTAAGCCCAAACAACCCTCGCCCACTCTAATTGTAGGTTGCACTCATAAGAATAATCAACCCAGCGTGGCTTTTTCCTGATCTAGTCCACATGAGGCGTACAGGTGTTGTAGCACTGCTTAGTTTGGTCTGCTCCCATCCCAGTTCATGCTCTCCAGTGGGAGTAGCTGTCCAGCAGGGGAACCACCCCTTAATCCCCTGCTGGCTCTGTCCTCTCCCTTCCTGTTTCTCACGTGTGCTGGATGGGCACTGCAACCTAATCCTGGCATTCTGTAGTGTGGGCTGGTTTTTATCGCAACCAAACCTGGCTTGACCCTTGATCTGTTCTGGTACTCGGAGTTGCCAGTGATGACATTAACTGATTCAGCCTGGTCTGCCCCCGATCCATGCCTAATGTATGCCAGTGGGAAACTTCTTGTGGCCTGCTCCGGGCTGTTTCCATTCATGCTTCTTGCGCTTACCCGCAGAGTCTGTGTCCTGCCAGAGGAGTTGCCCAGGCTCCTCCATCAGAACCTCTCCCAATGCCAGACTTCGCGCATACCAGGGGGTCCAAGAGCCAGCCCTACTCAGTTCACCTCCTGTCCTAGCAGGAACAGTGGCTTTTCCTGACTGGCCTTTGACCCAATCTGGTCCTTGCTGTTGGATGTTTCAGCCTAGCCATGGCTCGTCCAGTCCATTCCCACATACGGCTCACACATGTTTCAGTAGGGGTTGCGACCTTGCCTAGTCCGTCCGACGTCTATCCTGGTCTCCTGGAACACCAGACAGTGCTGGGGTCTGGCCCAGCCTGGTGTGTCCAGTCCCAGTCCACACTTGTGCCAAGGGAGATTTCAACTGTTACCTGATCAGAATGTAGCCCCCATTCCAGCCCACATGTTCATCTGCTGGACAAGGCCTGTGCCATAGCTTTAGCATGAACTGGTATTTGGTGGTCAGCATTGCTAAGTGATAACACATTCTTTAAAGGAAGAGTAACTGTCATTAGAAATCATTAGCATATATTCACCTCACAGAAACACTGGGTTTAACGTGGAGCTACATAAGCAGCAATTCAAACCACCAAAATCCCAGAGCTCCCCTGCCGGGCAGCCAGCAAAGAAATCTGGCGCCAAATGGCACACTGGCCACCCAGGCCCAGCTCACTACGTGCACATGGTGGCAGGCTTGTGGGATCCAGGCATGAGATGCCCTGTCCCAGGACCCACCCACAGCCGAGAGGCGGCAGGAAGTGTAAACTCCCTGGCCCAAAGTCGCACCCCACCCTGATCCCCGTCTGCCACCCAATGAGAGCAGTGGGTGGGCCTGCCTAGCCCCGCTCTAGAGACCTCCCCCCTCGGTCAGTGTACTCACCCTGAAGGGAGCAGCCCTGGAGCCCAGGCAGGCCCAGGCCCGGCTCACCACGTGCACATGATGGCGGGCTTGTGGGATCCAGGTATGAGACCCCATGTTTCCTTCTCGATGGTTTCCTCCTGGCTGGCTTCACTCTGCTGCATACTGCCATTACTGTCGCTGGAGCACCTCCTGTTGTACTCACAGGCCCTTCAGATTCTCAACCTAACTTATGGTGATTTCCCTGAATGTTTGCAGTGTGTTCTTGTGTTACTGACTTTCTCATATTGTTTCTAGGTTTGGTGTCAGGTTCTAGGTTAGGATTTATATATTTTTTTTTCTTAATTGTTTTTTGACCTCTTGGGCTCTTTTGGTGTTGGTATTCTATGTTCTTGGGGGATGTTTTTATTTTCTTTTTAGATTGGAATGGTTAAACCTTTTTGTAAGGATGGCGAATCTTTTAGGCTCTGTAGATCTTGGCTTCTGTTAAAACTCACCGATGGCAGTGTGCAAGTTACAGTACATGATATGCAAATGAATGCATTTGGCAGTGTTTCATGAAACTTTGTTTACAAAAGCAGCTGCCAGTTATGAGCCATAGTTTGTTGAAATTTAATTTAGATGCACTTGCACTGCTGCGGAATGAGTGAGGGTCCAGGTAGCTGGAGCCTATAGATCAAGAGTATTTTTTGTTTGTTTTGTTTACTGTGATTAAAACTTGTAACATTCAGTAAGCCCATGTTTGTTTTGCAGTAGGAAATAGCTTATAACGTAACTGCCTTACAGGACTGATGACTTGTTCTTATAAAAAGTAATTTTGATTTATTTAATATCATTGAATTGTTTTGGCTTATTTTAGACTTCTGAGAAGGAAATAATAAGTAAAGAGCAAGGAAACATAAAGGCAAAGGGAGCCTCTGATGTTGTTCTTTACAAAATCGACGTCCCTGCCAATCGATATGATCTGCTGTGTCTGGAAGGTTTGGTTCGGAGTCTGCAGGTCTTCAAAGAAAAGTAAGGGTCACTAAATGCTTGACCACATCGGATCTCTTCCTTTCCTGTCCTGTTCTTATCTGTAGTCAGGTTTAAGTTTCTGGGGAAAACAACAAAAGATTTGTTATATGTATATGTGACTTTTCACTTGGAGGAATGGAGATTTTGAAAATTTATCAAACATTGAAAAAGTATTTTATCTGTTTTAAAGATTTATTTATTTACATGAAAGAGTTACAGGGAGAGAAGGAAGAAGTTATTCCATATGCTGATTCACTCCCCAGATGGGTGCCTGGCCGAAGCCTATGGGTGGCAGTGACATAAGCACCTGGGCTGTCCCCCACTGCTTTGCCCAGGCCCTCAGGGAGCCGGAGCAAAAGTGGAGTCCGCCTGAACCAGTGCGTGTATGGAATGCAGCTGTTGGAGGTGCCGAGTTCCTGCACTGTGCCGTAAGGCCATCCTCTGGAAAACTTTTTTTTTAAACTGGAAGCAATACCATGGCTTTTTAGGAAATTCTTCAGCAAATGTTTGTTGTTTCCTTAAGTAATCTTATTGGAATGAACAGGTCATTGAATTTGTTCAAGTTTGGGAGGAAAGAGAGATGCCACGACTTTAGATCCCTTTACTTTAAGAATTCTAGGGGCCAGTGGCTAATCCCCAACCTGTGGTGCTGGCATCCCATTGGTTCATGTCCCAGATGCTCCATTTCCAGTCCAGCTCCCTGCTCCTGGCCTGGAAAAGCAGTGAATAATGGTCCAAGTCCTTGGGTGCCTGCACACACATGGGAGACCTAGAAAAAACTCCTGGCTCCTGGCTTTGGATTGGCACAGATCTGACTGTTGCTACTCTTTTACTCTTTTGAGAGTGATCCAGTGAATGGAAGATCTCTTTCTCTGTCTCTCCCTCTCGCTCCTTAATTCTATTAAGTAAAATAAATAAATCTTGGGGAAAAAAATTCTAGGGAAGCTGAGGAGTCGAGTGCCTGACTAGAAATCTCATATATATGGGTCTGAGATCTCTTGTAAGTTAATAGGCATCCTTAGTTTTAATTTCCTGATCAATAACAAATCTAACTCTATATGTAGTAGATAAAGACTGTAATGAATATCTAAAGTGAAAAATATTGTGTATCAAGAATTACTGTTTTTTGTCTTTGATTACATATGTTTATTGTATCAGTGGCAAAAGAATTAAAGCCTCTGGCTACTGGACTAGTTTTTGAACTTGTCAAAGTGTCACATGAATGATAGATATTGGTGGAATCATGATTAGGCATTTTATTAGTATGATTAGAAGTTTGAGGTTGATCCAGTTGGTTCCCTTCATGGCAGGTAGATGCTTTTGGAGGAAAGGATAGTCTTTGTGGAAATGTTTCCCAAAGTGTGCCTATTCACAGTGTGTGTGGTGGGCGCCCATGGTACCCACGCGGGATCAGGAAGGTGCTGTAAAGCCTTCCTGCTCATGACAGCACCTGCATCTAAAATGCCGGTGTGTCGAGTTAGAACCTCAAGTTTAACCAACTCTCTAAGCACAGGGAAATTTGAGAAGCGCTTTCTAAAAAAAAACTGTTTTTGCGATACCTCTAAAATGTGCCAGTTACCAAGGCTTTCTCTTACCTGGTTAAGTAGGTTCAGATAGAGCAAGGGAATGTGTGTTTTTAATAAACTCTCTTCTTTATACAAGTTCAGAATTTTGTGGTTGTAGTAATACTTAGCCCCTTACGTGGTGTTACTTACTGATTTTGTAACCTCTGCTCAGACTCTTAATAGGAAACTGCATCGTTAGGCATCCTGTTATTTCTGATAACATTAAATATTAGAATTATTTTGGATAGTTAGCCAAAATTTGATTTGTTGTAACTCATCCCACTGTCCTATTGATTTTTGTCTATTATTTGTAAGCATAGAATTTATGTTAAGAAAATTTTGAATAATTTTGTTTTAATAATGTTTTAGGATAAAAGCTCCAGTTTATAAACGTGTAATGCCTAAAGGAGAAATCCAAAAATTGATTTGCACAGAAGAGGTAATTTTATTTTTGCCTTTCCAAAGATTGTGTGTGTATGTGTGTGTGTACATACACGCAAGGGAGGGTGGAAAAAGATATTAACTGACTGTTCTTACAAAATGTCTCTTATTTGCTAAAATGGATGCATACATAGTGTCTAGCTCTTAAGTCAATTTGTTTTTATTGATAATGAAAAGAACAGGGTATCTGTTTTTGTAAATTTTCTTGGGAATTATTCAAATGTGTATTTAAGATGCATGCATCTGAGATACAGTTGTGTAAATTGCGATATATTAATAAGCATTTTTAAAAAGTTTTACTTATTTATTCAAAAAGGCCCAGTTTCACAGAGAAGGAGAGGGAGAGAAAAAGAGAATGTCTTCTATCTGCTGGTTCATTCCCCAAATGATCACAGTAGCCAGGGCTGCACTGGGCTGAAGTCAGAAGCCCAGAGCTCCTGGGCCTTCCGTGTGGGTGCAGGGGCCAAAGCACTTGGGCACCCTCCACAGCCTTCCCAGGCACATTCGCAGGAGCTGGGTCAGAAGTGGAGCATCGAGGACATGAACCCGCAGCCATATGGATGCTGGCGGCTGACACGCCACAGCTCTGGCACCGTAATAATAAAATTTTGGAAGAGATTATTTTGATACAAATGAAGTATGAGTAAGGTATTTGAAAAATAGGGTTTTGTTTTTCTCGTTTACTTAGCAAGCTTTCAGAAACTTTTTGAAATGTAGATTCTTTGAGGACATTGCCTTTTATATTTACTTTATTGTAGATAAATGGGTATACTCGTTGGAATCAAAACTTGCGACTGCCAAGACGCCAGCTATTCTTTTGTTATGTGACTACAAAGGGCCTTGTTCTTTACTCTCTTTAGTAATTTTATGGCCTCTAACAATGTTTCAGACAGCTAAAGTACGCCCCTACGCAGTGGCAGCAGTTCTCCGAAATATAAAGTTCACTAAAGATCGCTATGACAGCTTCATTGAACTGCAGGAGAAGTTACATCAGAACATTTGCAGGTTTGTAGTCTTGTTTCGTTCCTTGCCCTCTCCCTTCCTTTACTCTTTCCATCCAGCCTCTTCCTGTCTGGCTTCTCCCTCTTCTTGCTTCTGCCTTTCCATTCTCTGTCCATCTCTCCTTTTCTTCTTTGCAAATTTTCTCAAAGCATTTCTAAACTACTAATATATGAAAGTGAAAGTTTGCTGGAGAGTCTTATAAATGGTATATACGTGGTTAAGCACTAGCTATATTTTGAATACTACATAGAGAAGAATTGTCTAGTGGTTTTTGTTGTTGTTGTTGTTGTTGATAGTATCAGAATTACACTAAGTGTAATCCATAATAATTTGAATACTGTTTGAAAAATGGAAAGATGTTTTTTTGGCTTAGTGCCACTTTTTAAACGAGTGTAATTATAAATTGACAAAAATGACTTTAAGTCACTGAATTACTCTGTCTTTGCGTTACTGTATATCATTTCATGCATGGCTTTTGTTAATGTTTGATTCTCAAACTCATAAAATTCTTGAACTTGGTACACTTTGTAATTTAGCATGCTAGTCTGTTTGTCCTGCAGCATCTGTGTTAACTCGTGATGGTTAAGGAAAGCAACAGCGGAAATCCTTACACCAGCACCATGTTTTCTTTTCTTTTCTTCTTTTTTTTTAAGATTTATTTTTATTTATTGGAAAGTCAGATATACAGAGAGGGGGAGAGAAAGAGAGGAAGATCTTCTGTCCGATGATTCACTCCCCAAGTGACCACAACGGCCGATGCTATGCCAATCCGAAGCCAGGATCCTGGAACTTCTTCTGGGTCTCTCACACGGGTGCAGAGTTCCAAGGCTTTGGGCCGTCCTCGACTGCTTTCCCAAGCCACAAGCAGGGAGCTGGATGGGAAGTGGAGCTGCTGGGATTAGAACCGGCGCCCATATGGGATCCTGGTGTGTTCAAGGCGAGGACTTAAGCCTCTAGGCCACGCCGTCGGGCCCAGCACCATGTTTTCGAAACCCTGATGATAACTAGTGGTGAGAAACTTCAACCCCTAGCTTACGTGTCCCTGTTTGGGGAGTGAACCGGCAGATGGAGGATCTTCCTGTCTCCTTTCTGTAAATCTGCCTTTCTGATAAAAATAAATAAATCTTTAAAAACAAAGATCACTTAAATAATTAAAAAAAAATAGTAGCCTTGTCCTGAAACATCTGTGTTAACATGCTAGAAGTGATTTTTTTTTTCAGAAACTCAGCATTTATTCACTTTCTTAATTTACAAAGAAATTGTATTTCTGGGTGTTATTTTGTTACTATGTTAATATTAACCCAGTAAGTCCCAGGGTTTTATGGTTATTTCAAGGGTTTCATCAGAGAGTGATTGTATGTGTTTTATATGTAGAACAATGGGACGTGTGGATGAAACAAAATGCTTAGAGTTTAAATATAAACTCTGGTGATGTCACCTGTTTCATTCCTATATCACTTGTCTTTCTCCTTGATCATTGTATTTAAAGGATTATGAGGATTATTGATCAGCTTTTGGCTTCATTGATTTTTCTCTGTTCTTTTCCCTTTATTTTCTTGTTTTCCATTGATAAGCAATGCTCTGCAGGTCCAAGTAGTTGCTGCTTTTGAGGGAGAAGTACCTTTGGCTTCTCTACCCATTGCCACACGAACGTGACATTCATGTAGCATTTCCGTTGTGTTAGGTAGCATAAACAGTCTAGGGGCTATTTTAAATTACAAGGGAGCCTGTGCTTAGGTTTTATGCAGCTAGTTAGACCCGCTTCAGTAAGGAACTTGAATATCTGTGACTCTGGTATCTGCTGAGGAATGACTGCAGTTCCTCTCTGCAGACATTAAATTATCTACTTATGCGTATTTTCTTATTATTCTCAAATCTTTATTTTAACATTTAAAATCTATGTTGCAGTGTCACAATCTGGGCCATGTTAGGGTTTTTTTTATGGACTGGTTTTATATGGAATGTGAGTCTTTTTATTTTTTAAATTAGGGTAAAAAGGTTCAAGGGGTACAAGGGGTACAAGGGGTTCAAGGGGTTCTATATCTGGGGCAAAGAGGGAGGTAAAGGGAGAAGCCCCACCCACCCGCCCACCCATCCCAGGTCCCGGATGTGGGGCATGCTCTGAGGGTCTTGCTGAAGTGGTTTTGATAGTTCAACAGTTCTGAATTGCTGCCAATCTCACCATTCCAAGCATGAAGAAGTCACTGCAGAATCCACTGCTTGACACAGTCCATGTTAGGGTCTCCATTTGCTGCTTTCCACTGCCAACATTTGGCTGAGGTGTTTGGTTGACTTGTTCTGTCCCCTGTTTTTTCATGGTTAGGGATCTGAGTCTGGCAGTTTGATTGAGAAGATCCCCAAAGAGACTTTGAGGTGAACCCAGACCAGATTCTTGTGTCCACTAGCAAGTACAGGGCCTAGCACAGTCCATCGCCCCAATCAGCTGGTGGTTGCAGTTACTGGGTTGGTTCTGTTTCCAACTCTGTCTTCCACTGGAAAAAAAAAATGTCCAGCCCGATCCTGCCCATTTCATACTCAGCCTTCACATAAGCCAGTGGGAGCAGCAGCCTAGTCGGAGCGACCCACAATAACCCCACCAGCCCACTCCTGTCCTGGTTCCCATGCTTGCAAAAATATGGAACACTTCACGAATTTGCGTGTCATCCTTGCGCAGGGGCCATGCTAATCTTCCAATTTTAGTATATGTGCTGCCGAAGTGAGCACTGGAATATGAGTCTTACTGCCATGTTTCATCTCAGATCGTTTAATTGCATCTAGAATATTGTAGGATGGAAGTGGCTCTTGCTTCTGTCTTCCCTGAAGAGCAGCTTTTGTCTGTGCAGGCTAACTCTGGAATGCTGAGCTCCACTCGGACTCTGCAGGCGCTGGGCCTGTCCACACCAGAGCTCTACAGCTGGCAGCCGCCCAGGTCGCTGCCTTTCCGCTTACCCTGCTGCCTGTTAGAGCAGACCTTGAACGTTTTTCCCAGTGTGATGGATAACGTCTTGGCATCAGACTAGTTTATTTTTATGTTTTCTGTATTTTTGTGTGTTTAGCATATTAATCCTTTTCTATACATAAGGAAAAAATCTTTTATCACTGGAATTTTTTATGTCTTTAACATTTGAAGCCTTTTGAATTGTAAGGTTTTCAGTTTGAATATAGGTTGTCAATCTTATGTGATTTTTATTATGTTTTGTGATTTACTGAATCAGTAGATTTAATCACATTCATCTGTAGTTTTTGGGATAAATTGGTAGTATCTTTTATGTATGTGTAGGTGTGTGTGTGCATTTTTTTTTCCCAAATAAAACCCTGATTCATCTGGAGTTTATTTCTTTGTGACTGCTTTAAGGTTGAAAGCTTAGTGGGTTTTTTTTGAGATACTCTTTTACAATTGAAGGAATAGTATTAATATCTGAAAACATGTGATTTCTTACTTGTACATGTTTGAATTGTTAATTTATCAAAACCTATTTAGCTTCATATTGCGTCTCGTTAGTTCTGGTCTGTTAGCTTCCGTAAACAGGTTACTCTGTAAGGTAACACTTCCCTTTTACTTCTCAGTAATTCTGTTCTAGTTTACTAGTATTGGAGGCTGACCCAAGTTTAGTATGCATTTTGTCTACTTCATGAATGTGTTACTATGCATAACTAGTCAGACATGTATGTGTGCATAACATTTTGAAACCAGTTCTCAGGAATCTTAAAAACACAAATTTTGATTAAATTTCTTTCTTTGAAATGACTGCTAGAAAACTGAGAACCAAATTTGTATCTGTAGCCATTAGACTTAGATCCTTTAAATTCTGATTTAATATTAAAATTTCCTGGCACAGATATGCGTGTGTGTGTGTGTATATATATATTTATATATAAATATAATAATTATATAAATATAATAAATATATATTTAAATATATAAATTTATATATTTATATAAAATAAAATTTATATATTTATATAAATATATAATTATTATATATTTATATAATTATATATTAATATATAATATATTATCTATAATATATATTTATATATCATATAATATACTTATTTATATTATATATTATATAATATTTATAAATATAAATATTAATATATTAATATATCAATATATAATTATATATAAATATATTATATAATATATATAATTATATATATTTATATAATATAAAATTTATATATTTATATAAAATAAATATATATTTAAATAAATATATTTAAATAAATAAATATAATAAATATACAAATTCCTAAAATGCCTGGAAATCCCATGTGGATTAACTGTGGGACTAAAATTAATAACCTTTGAACTTTTCTTCCATGTTAAATTTGAAGTGCCCTTCACAGCTCTTAACAATCAGTTTTTCCATACGATAGGGGTGCTTGAACAGGAAGAAGAGAAACCAAGGGTTTAGTAGGAAGCAGCTTTTTTCATGGCAGCGTGAGGCTCGGTTTAATTCATATCCAAAACACTGAGCCACAGGGGACACTCCTTTATCCCATTTAGCTTCTTTGACTTCCTTGCATGGTTTTGATTGGATGTTTGCTGCTGCTTGGTGGCTAGGTTACGCAGGCACACACAGCTACTGCTAATGTTGGCTTTCCTTAAAGAGGTCAGTTATTGCCCACACCATGTAGCGAACTCCTCCTTGGCTGGCTGACAGAGCAGTGTCGTGCTGACAGGCAGGTGTGCCAGCTGTCCTGAGCAAGGCGTTACTGCCAGTGCCTTCCCAAGATAGGTCTTCGTTTTTTGTTTATTTCAGAAAAATCCCTATTACAATACAGCTATGTGTAAGTTAGGATATACCACAGCCAAACCACACAGAATTTTGATGGTTTATTCTCATAAACCAAGAAGAACTAGATTAAAAGATGAGAGGAGTGCTGATGTGGAAGGTGTCCTGGTACTGGTGCTTGGGAAGGGGTGGTGGCAAGGATCCGCGCCAGCTGCTGAAATGATGTGTTCCAAGGAGTTTATAACTTCTGGTTACTTTTCGTTGTGAAAATGTTTTCATTGTATTCCACCGAAGATGCCTGGTAGTAGCTGTAGTTTTAGGGGAATGTCTAAAATAATTACCTTGAACATGTAGTCTGTGTTTTCTTCAGAATTTTGTTTTGAAATATTCATGCCTCTGTGTCTGCTTCACTTCCGTCATTCTGTCAATGATTAGGAAAAGAGCGTTGGTTGCTATTGGCGCCCATGATTTGGACACTTTAGCAGGCCCGTTCACCTACACCGCGCAGCGTCCTTCATGTATCAAATTCAAGCCTCTCAATAAGACGAAGGAATATACAGCTTGTGAACTGATGAACATATACAAGGTAAATGCTTACGTAATGTTTTTGCTTGGGTTGTGAAACTTTAAGACAAGCCTTGGAATTACGGAATTGAAATGTTAGTCTTAGATTCCTAAGAAACAGTGGATTTAGCAGTCACTTTAAACCAAGTACAGATAACAAAAAGAAATAGTAGGTATTGTTTGGAAAAAAACAGCTGTGTCCTTGGCCAGAGTTCCAACAGATTTCTTAGTATTTGTAAACAGGTTTCCTGACAGCTTGTGTTTTGTTTCAGGTGATTGGGCAAAGCAGTGTAAATGTGTTTTCTCTCCTGAGAAGTGATTCTGTGTTCTTATCTTCCCAGTAGAATTTCAGGTTGTCTAGGCACGTTGAGTTATTCATTTATATCAGACCATCTTATGAATTAACTGCTGACTGCAATTTGGGGTTGTTTTAAGTTTTCCTGCTTCTTTCGGTTTTTTTCCTTGTATTAGGTTGACATGTAAGCTAATTGGAGTGACAGTAAACTAGGTTTGTAACTGAATTTTTTCAGACTGACAACCACCTTAAGCATTACTTACACATCATTGAAAACAAGCCCCTGTACCCTGTGATCTACGACAGCAACGGCGTGGTTCTGTCGATGCCTCCGATCATCAACGGTGAGCTGCCTTGGGCTGTCGGTCCTTGCCCGTCAGCTCCTGTAGCATTCCCAGTGACCTCGGCTCAATCCAGTCCGTGAACTCAATCTCAAGATCTCCCACGTTTGGTAGATTTCATTTGAGTAGTTCACTTGTTCATTTTTCAACATCATTACTGGGTTTTTATGTAATTTATAAAGTTGTTATTCTTTGCAATATACAAATGTTTCTTATTGCAATTTCTAGGTTCTGTATATTTCTCTAGAAAGTATTAATACTTTAGTTTTAGCAAATTGGTTAACTCAAAAGCAAGATCTGTGTTGCCTGTAGTTTATAGCAAAACTTTTCATCTAAATTTTACCTTGTTCATTCCTTTCGGATGACTATTTCTATGAGGCCATTTGAATCCGCTCTCAGAGTATAACGGCACCAAGCCAGGGAGGTGGGAAGGAGGTTTGGCTTGGTTCATGGCGGGAGGAGTGTCCTGTCCATGACGTCACGGATTCTGCTTCTCACTGTGCAAGAACTCCGGCCACAGAGTTATTGAGACCTGGACACAGATCTTACTTGGCCTTCCTATTTAATAGTGTGGAATCATGATCAAACAGCTTCATCTCTGAAGTTCAGCAGTCCTGCCTGCGATCATAGCGTAGTGCTGTACTGCACTTAACTGAGGCAGTCTGCACTAGGTGTTTGGCATGGCAGCTAATGTGTTGTATGTACTTAGTGAAGGCTAGTTTTTATGGTTTCAACTTGCAGTGGATAAAAAAGCTTGTATAATGTGTTTTGAATTTAAAATGTAGTTTGTTTTATTGAACACTGTATATTTCATGTTTGTTGCAGGGGAACATTCCAAATTAACCGTAAATACTAAAAATGTGTTTATCGAATGTACAGGAACTGACTTTACTAAGGTAATTGAAACTTTTATTTTATTATTGTACTATAAGGCAGGATTAGATTTTACTTCCCAGCCATGACTATGCAATTAATATTTAAGATATGTTCATTTTGTAGGTGCGAGCATGGTTCAGAAATTTAGAAGACTAAAAAGATGTAGTTATTTTGTACTTTGGTTATGGTGCTTTTGACAGATGTTGAATGAACACCCTATGCCTTTCCAGTGCCAGGGCTTAATAGTGAATTGCAGGTTTCTTACTTCCAGGCATCCTGAGTGAATGACAGAAATGCCAGAGTGAGTCATTGACACAACTATCAAACAGAAAGTACTGAAATGAGATCTGTAAAAATTGCTTATCTTGGTTGACTTGTTTTTAAATGAAAAATAACTTGGTACCTTTGTGTCTTTGAATTTTAATGAACTGAGTGTAGTGAATTTTTTGTTAGCACTTTGATAAAGGATTAATGTCCACAGTATCCAGGTATGTAGAATGCTGGCTCATTCTTACTCACTAGCTGTGGTGCTTGGCTTCTTATGATTGCTTTTTCTATGGCACATGAGTTCTTCATGCGTGATAAGTAGAGCATTGAGTGAATTGGCATTTAAACAGATTAAGAAGGGCAAACTCAGATGGCAGGAGAAGGCTGGGATGTAGCAGTCAGATGAATGCCATTCGTGTGCAGCTTAGATTATTGGGAGAATGAGAGAGAATTTTTCATTGATAACTTGGATATGGTAACATTTATTTTCAGAAATAGGGTAATTCAACCCTTTAGAAAATTTAAATTTATGTTTATGAGGCCTTGTACAGTTATTTCACTGAACTTGCACATGAGCCAAGGAGTGCACCTGTCTCTGTAGGCTGCTGGCTTTTATTGCTAGGAATGTGTTTTTCAGTTAAATCTAACAAACTTAATATGGCCCTTAAGCACTTACAAGGTACAATCTACATGTTTTATGTTTAAGTCTATTGAATCCTCATAATCAAAAAAGTAGCAATTTTTTTGGAAAGATTTACCCATTTTTATTTGAAAGACAGACTTACAGAGTGAAAAGGAGAGGCAGAAAGATGGTCTTCCATCTGCTGGCTCCCTCCCCAAGTGGCTGCCACACCTGGAGCTAAGCTGATCTGCAGTCAGGAACCAGGTGCCTCTTCCAAGTGGGCTTCCTCTACCACTGTCCCAGGCCATACATAACCACGGGGCTAGATCTCAAGTGGAGCAGCCAGGACTGGAACCGGAGTCTATATGGGATGCTGGCAGATGGAGGCTTAGCCTACTAGGCCACAGATCCAGCTCCATAGGAATTATCTCTACTTAACAGATAAAAAAAAACTGAGATACAAAGAGGGTAAGTAGCATTCAAGTGAAGCAACTTCAGAGTCTGAGAGACCGATGAGGTTTGCTGCAACAATTAGCTGTTTGTCTCCTTGAAGCTGGTGGACTGATTGGAAGAGAGGAGACAAAGTGACTTCAGTCATGGGTTGTGACTCGGAACTGCATAAATGCAGAGTGACTGATGATGCAGACAGACCCATGCCTCCACTGATACCACTGCTGATCTGAGTGCAGACAGACCCATGCCTCCACTGATACCACTGCTGATGATTGAGGATCTTTTAAAGACCTACTCAAGTTTTCTTACTTAAATATATGGGACAAGGCCTACCTTTAAGCATTTGATGACTAAATTATATAAATACTAATGCATTTCCAACTTAGAGAAGATAATATATTTACAGATTAATATATATTTTTTCTTTCCCAGGCGAAAATAGTTCTTGATACTCTTGTCACCATGTTCAGTGAATATTGTGAGAATCAATTTACGTAAGTTCTCTCATCATTTTTCTTGATGACCTGCTGTTGTGAAGGTGTTAAGGCTTTGTACAAAATACAGAGTTTCCTGTAACTAGAATAGGCATAGTATCTGTTTTGGGAGATAAACATGTGTACAATAAACATGCACAAATAATATATACAAACTATAGTGTTTTGTTAATACCCTGGCCCGCTGAAAGGGCAAATGCCTGCCAGCAGAGGTAGTGTGGACCGCCGGGAGGCGGTGCAGTTCAAGCTGTGTCTGAGACCGTGAAGTCGGAGGACCAGCAAAAGGAGCAACCAGCCAAAGAGAAGTACATTTTCATGTTGAGAGCAAGGCATGAATCCCTTAGGTTTGGATGATATTTTTTCCCAAAGTGTATTTTTTTTAAAGGAAAGTGCGTCAAAGCATATTTTTAATTAAAAGATTTATTCAGCGAATCACTATGGCTTCTTAGTGTGTGTGATCATCAGAGTGGTTTATGCTGGCCTGTTCATGGTGAGTCAGAATAAATGTGTTAGTGTCACAAGCATATGGTGTAAAAAGCTATATGGGCACTATCATTTGGGGTTTGTGAATTGGTTCGCATTTCAGTGAGTATCAGTTAGCTTTTGTTGTATAGCACACTGCGTTGATAAAGCTTAGAGTGTGCTGTCACACTGGCAGGAGCACATGTGGGAAACATGCTTGTTGTGCTGGGAGATGAATGGTGCCAGGGAACGATGTCTGATGGCCGAGGCAGTCAGGGAAGGTGCACTGGTCGCAGTGAGGTATAGGAAGGTCGTTCCAAACCGCACGGTTGGCAAGTGAGAAAGTGACTCATTGGGGTGCCAGATGGCAGATTTGCTAAGCAGACACATTTCTAGAATTGAAGGCACTATTTTTTTTTTTTCCTAAAGTATCTTATTTCTGGCTTTTCTACCCCCAGGGTTGAAGCTGCTGAGGTCGTTTTTCCTAATCGAAAATCTCACATCTTTCCAGTAAGTATTTGAAAAACAACTTAATGATGATAACGATAGTGGCAGTACTGCTTCTGGCTCAAGGGCTTGTGCTCCCTGTCTGTGAGTCTCTTCCACCCTTAGGCTGCAAGCCAAACTCTTACTCTTTATATCTCCTAGCTTACTGGGCACTAGGCTCTGATTACGTGGGTGCCGTCTTTACAATAACCCTGTGAGCATAGGTGGCAGTATTGTATTTTTTCCTGAGATCCAGAGACCTTGAGGTGCAACTCAGCCTACCTGGTAACTGTTAATTGGGAGGCTAGGATTAAAGTTGAAGCGATCTGATTTCAGGCGCCAAAGTGCCATAATCAACAAATAGGACCATATCTGCTGTGGCTTATTCTCTCATTGAATAGTTAGTTGGATAATGTATGATTTGACACCTGAGAGCGTTGCTCGGCTCTCGACATCTGACCAGTCTGCTTGGACTTTTGCTCTTGGCCATCACTGTAGTGAATAACTCCAAATTATTAATAAAAATCATTTAGTAATTGAATCTTAACTCTTAATTGACTGGATGTTTCTCCTCCCAGTGTCAGTTGGTATAATCATGTCCATTTTAAATCATGGTGGAATTATAATCATTTAATTGTGATTTTTGTTCAGTGGGGCCATTCTTTGATGAGCATTTTTTTCCTTTGGATTTTGTGTGTGTGTTACAAACTACCTCAAGACTCTGGTTTAAAATAACACCCCTTTATTTACTTGTTTTTTTTTTTTAAGATTATTTTATTTTTATTGGAAAATTAGATATACAGAGGGGAGGCGAGACAGAGAGGAAGATCTTCCCATCCAATGATTCACTCCTTTAGAGGCCACAATGGCTGGTGCTGTGCCGATCCGAAGCCAGGAATGCAGAGCTTGTCTCAGGTCTCCCACACAGATGCAGGGTCCCAAGGCTTTGGACTGGCCTCAACTACTTTCCCAGGCCACAAGCAGGGAGCTGGATGGGAAGTGGAGCCGCTGGGATTAGAACTGGTATCCATATGGGATTCCAGCACGTGCAAGGCAAGGACTTTAGCCTCGAGGCTGCTGTGTTGGACCCAACTCCTTTCTTTGCTTCTTGGCTCTCTTGGTTGTGAGTGGTTCTTGTAGGCTGAGCCAGTTTAGCTCATCTCTGCCGGGTTCTTTAATATGAGAAATCAGCTGGCTGCTTGGCCAGCAGCTGAGTGGGCTGGGCTGACCTCCCCCACCTGTCTTCTTGGCAGTGGAATCGGTGGGGCAACTGTCCCTTGTCAACTGGCAGACTGGGGTGCATACTTTTACATGATGGCAGAGTTCCTGGCAGCAGGAGAGCGAGCCCAGAGCTCGGGCATTGAGGCTTGCTGAGCTGTGGACAGGGTGAGGGGTGGAGGAACGAAGGCTGTCTCCTGTAGGAGGGCCTGCAGCATCCCATGCAGGGCCGCGGCCACTGGACAGGGGAGCAGCTGTGGTTGTTAGAACTTACCATGGTAGTATTTTGGGTAGCCAGAGATAGGTTTTAAGTCTGTTTTAAAATGGCTTGAGAGGACTTTGTTTATATGAAGAATTGTCAAGTGTTAAAAAATGGGAATATGTTTTAAAGTTTGGCTCAGTCTTGTGGAGACAGTTCCCTCAAGTCATGTATTTGTAAGAAGATGAAGTTTCAGAATCTTCAAACAGTAGGCTTCCACACTAGTGTTTTGCCATTTTATTTATTTTCTGCTAAGCTTCAGCTGGAATAGCCTTTCAAGGGTCCTGCAAGAAGGGAAGGGTCCACTCAGGGAGCCTTAGTCTTCCTCACACAGAGTAGCTGATTCTCCCCAAACACTTTGGAAATTCTGTTCTAGTTTTTGTTATTGATAGAAAAGAATAAAGTTTTGAAATGAAAGAACAAGGGGTTGGAAGAGGGACCAGGGCCGAGAGACTAATGGTTGATGGTCTGTGCTTTGGAATGTGGCTGTCTGAATTTGTTTACTGATTCATTAGTTTATTCCTGAGTTACTTCATGCATGCATACATTTGCTCTTTAAATGTATACCAAATGTTTATCATCTAACACGTGTTTGTCTAAGCACTGGGAATACAGCAGTTCTTGCCTTTGCCATGGCGGTGACCTGTACTTAGACTTGTAAAATGTAAAGTGAGAGCATTCAGTTGTGAAGATGGGGTGTGTGTCTTGTGTCGGTCAGCTCATAGTGACTGCCCACTGCCTGCCATGGTTCTCAGTGCTCACTGCATCTGCAGGCCTTGTGACCTGGGACTGGGCTCTGCGCAGCTGGAGCTGCCGGCTCTGCAGACCTGGAGTCCGCCTTGCTGTCAAGCTCAGAGGATGACACTGGTGCTTCTCTTCTGGGGACCACGTTTTAAGTAGCAGTGTTCTGACTGTTCCTCTGCCTTGGATCATAGCAGGCTTTTGCAGTTTTGATCTTTGCTAGTGGCAGTTGTGCTTTTGAGAGTCATTTAGTGAGAAAGGTATTGAGTGTGTTCCTTTTCCACGTCTGGTCCCTTTGAGGAAGAACGAGGACCAATTTATAAGATGCTGTGTCTCTGCTGATTCCTGCAGCAGAGTGATGGGACTTGGAGCAGCCTTGCATTTCCCCTGGGAGAGGATAGAAAAGAGAGAAAAAGAATGCTTTTCTAGAACTCTTAGACTCAATGAGCTGGGTCAAGGCACCTGAGCTTGGTCACACTCCCTTACTTGCATGAGATAAGACTTGGAAATCTTTTTTTTTTTTAAAGATTTATTTATTTATTGGAAAGTCAGATATACAGAGAGGAGGAGAGACAGAGAGGAAGATCTTCTGTCCGATGATTCACTCCCCAAGTGACCACAACGGCCGATGCTATGCTGATCTGAAGCCAGGATCCAGGAACTTCTTCTGGTAACCCACATGGGTGCAGTGTCCCAAAGCCTTGGGCCGTCCTCAACTGCTTTCCCAGGCCACAAGCAGGGAGCTGGATGGGAAGTGGAGCTGCCAGGACTAGAACTGGCGCCCATGTGTGATCCCGGTGCGTTCAAGGCGAGGACTTTAGCTGTTAGGCCATGCCACCGGGCCCAAGACTTAGAAATCTTGAGCAAGTTGTATAAATGTCTTTGTAATGATCTAATGTAGCAGTGTTGCACTGTAGGGAATGGGAGTTGAGCATCTAAGAGAAAAAAAGATCTTGTTTTGTTTCTAAGCACAGATTGTCTAACAAGTGTATGTGAAGCTAGTTGATCAGATTGTTCTTCCATAAGAACATTTTGAAATCCCAAGCTTATGTTCAGTCTGTGGTTCTCAGGACCATGTGTTGGGTGAGTAATAAGAATGCAACAACTCACTGAATTAGGAAAGGCTGGGACTCTGGCGGTGTGGCCTAGCTGCTAAAGTCCTCGCCTTGAATGCTCTGGGATCCCATATGGACGCCAGTTCTAATCCCGGCGGCTCCACTTCCCATCCAGCTCCCTGCTTGTGGCCTGGGAAAGCAGTTGAGGACGGCCCAATGCTTTGGGACCCTGCACCCGTGTGGAGGAAGTTCCAGGCTCATGGCTTCGGATTGGCACAGCACCGGCCGTTGTGGACACTTGGGGAGTGAATCATTGGATGGAAGATCTTCCTCTCTATCTCTCCTCCTCTCTGTGTATCTGACTTTCCAATAAAAATAAAATAAATCTTAAAAAAAAGTCTAAAGCTATATGGGATTGGGAATGATTTTGACTGTTGCAATTGTTTCTTTCCTTAAGGAACTGGCTTACCGCAAGGAGATAGTAAGAGCTGATCTGATTAACAAGAAAGTTGGAATCAGGTATGCTCTCGCTTCATTTATTTACTTATTGTTGGAGGGAATTGAAGAACAAAATACAAACAAAAGTAATTTTTCCTGAAACAATGCTAGGATGGGTGTTTGATATCCTCTCAGATTAACTCAAGGAGTGAGAGCATCAGTTTGGGCATCAGGGGTTTTCTGGAATTCAAAAAGAAATGCTATTGCAGGTCATGAGTAGCATATTTTAAACCAGTGTAAACATTTTCATTGTCCAGAGGAAGTCACTGCTTGTACATTCCCATTTCAGAGAAACTCCAGAGAATCTTGCCAAGCTCCTGACCAGGATGCATCTAAAGTCAGAAGTCATAGGCGACGGGAATCAGATTGAGATTGAAATCCCTCCAACCCGAGCTGACGTCATCCACGCATGCGATATTGTAGAAGATGCAGCCATTGCTTACGGATATAACAACATTCAGATGGCTCTTCCGAAAACATACACCATAGCTAATCAAGTAAGATTGCACCCTTAAATAAACATTCCTTATTGTTAGAAACTGATTATTGAATGCCAGGAAGGCTTCGAGAAGAACAGAACATAGGAATTAAGCAGTGTTTGGGCATGCTTTGCTTTGGGAGGCATTTGCTGTGGAAAGGATACAAAACAGATGCCCAAATGATTAGAGTTAGTTGAAAACCTGCGCTGACTAGGTCTTTGAGGAAAGACAGGTTTTGAGTTTGCAGCCCGTGTTGGCTGTCCGACTGCAGAATCCAATTTTTAAACTTAGGGCTGAAGTCAGAAGCTGGGAGGGAGAAGGGGTGTACATCCATGTAAACGTGGAGTGGTAACAAGGTGGTGGAAGATGGGGTGCTAATTGTGTGGGAAACAGGGCAAGTGCCTTTTCATGACATGACTTGTATCCATTTTTTTTTTTTTTTTGGTCAAAAAAAGATCTTACGGGTGAAATAAGTGAATTTCCTTTTTTGTCAGTTTCCCCTTAATAAGCTCACTGAACTTCTCCGACACGATATGGCAGCTGCCGGATTCACCGAAGCCCTTACCTTCGCTCTGGTAGGTCCCACACCGCTCTGCCCGTGGATTGCTTGCTTTGACCTTGAATCACTGTTGGAGTCCTTGTGAGAATGTAAAAAGCCTAGACTACCAACATTTCCAGATTGTGGAAAAAAACTGTTGTTTGCGACTATACAATGTGTTCTAAAGAAGTTTTTAAGCTTTTCTTTTCATAGGCAGAATATGAAGTCTTAGAAAAAATGTCTAAATAACAAAAGATGAAGTATTTAATAGTTTCATGTAAGTGTTAAGGGTTCACAGTGAATTTCATAACCCAATCTATTAAGTTAGAGTTTTTGGTCTTAATTTGGTTGTGGCTGTGCCCACTAGATGCCGCCCTGGTTAAGGGCTTGCAGACTGTTCCACTTATTTCTTTGTCTTTGAACATATTCACAGACATTTGCTTTGAGTTGAGAAGCTGACATAAAAGGCCTAAATCAGGAAATGACTTTTATTACAAAATCAGAAAGCACTCTTCCCTCCCCTGCCAGACTGACCATGTGAAGGGATACAATGTGTGTGCAATTTGTAGTTCCTTTGTTTCCTCTTGCCGAGTTCCCGTGGTGCCTACGGTGCTGTTCTGGAGTGTTCAGGGAAGTCTCAGTGCAGGTCTGTGAGCTGATTTGTGATTTAGAGTTGTGTCTTCCCCAGTCAAGCCCAGCCTGGAAGCTCTCAGTTGTCTTGAGAATCTAGAGACTGCAGATCTTCCAGTTTTCTGATTCATCATTCTTTTGGTGTTTGTTGGCCATCTGTTTGATGAAGCCTCGGCCGACAGGGGTAGCTGTGTAACCAATTGCCCACAGCCAGCAGAGGCCTGTGGGACCAGGGGCTTTGCTTCTCCATCATCCCATCTGTGGATTCTCAGTCTGTGCTGCATGCTATGCACACCCACGTAGCTGTGTAGTACCACGCTTCTGTAAGTTCATGCAAGCTGAATTAAAAAAAGGGATTTTGAGAAGTGTATTTTTTTTTAAAGATTTAGTTTATTTTTATTGGAAAGTCAGATATACAGAGAGGAGAGAGAGAGGAAGATCTTCCGTTCGATGATTCACTCCCCAAGTGACTGCAACGGCCGGTGCTGTGCCGATCCTGAGCCAGGAGCCTGGAACTTCCTCCAGGTCTCCCACATGGGTGCAGGGTCCCAAGGCTTTAGCTGTCCTCGACACAATCAGGGAGCTGGGTGGGAAGTGGAGCTGCCAGGATTAGAACCAGCTCCCATATGGGATTCGGCACGTTCAAGGTGAGGACGTTAGCTGCTAAGCCATGGCGCCAGGCCCTGAGAAGTGTATTTGTATTTGTTTAATATGTTAGTAGACAGTCCTGGCGTGATGGCTCAGTGGCTAAATCCTCACCTTGCAAGTGCCCAGATCCCTTATGAGCACTGGCTCATGTTCTGGCTGCTCTACTTTGTCCAGCTTCTTGCTTGTGACCTGGGGGCCAGGAGTGGAGGATGACCTGGGACTCAAGGATCTAGGCCAACCTCCTCAGGCTGGTAGTAGGGAACTGGATGGGCAGTAGCCAGCTTATATGGGATGCCAGTTGCTGCAGGCAGAGGCTTGGACTGCTATGCTACCATGCTGTCCCTGGCTATAATTTCTTTGAAACTGGCTGACCTTTTAAAAAATAATTTTATGTGCAAATTTAGTTTTGATCGAGTTTATTTAGAGGTGAGGAAATCACTGAAACACATTGAGAGAGAGAGCCGGCAGAGAATGGAAAGATGGGAGAGAGATCTTTGTGCGTTCGTCTTGTGTCCACGGGGAGGGAGAGGACTCTCCTTCCTGCTGCCTGGCTTCTGATGAAGTCAGACGGGGAATGGTTAGTGATGTCGCCCTCCAGGCCTCGGCGAGGGCCAGTCCTGCAGGGGAGGGGCCAGTTGATTGGCAAGTGGGTAGAGTGTGTTCCATAGAGCAGGGGAGGTAGGGCTTCCATTTCTACCTGCCTGGCCCACTCCTGAGATTTCCAACCCCTGATCGTAAGGGTTGTTGAAGCTTGTAATTACATCTCATCTCTTGTCGCTACTTCCTGCTGATGAAGGGTGTAGGCCTTGCATGTCCTGGGTTCAAAAATCTCACCCTATCTCTTCCAAGGGTCCCATCTCCCGAACCATGGAAATGTAGCTGGTGCTTGTGGCTGTGCCCGCCACATCTTCGTTGCCACTGGCCTTTTCTGCCTTGGAGCAGCATCCGAGGGGCTCATCTGGTCCACAGGGGCAGGCTGAGTGTTCTTTTCATGTGCAGGTGGACAAGATCCTTCCCCCTGTACAGAAGTCAGAGTAGGAGGCTAAACAGCATATACTGTTCTGATGCTGGAACCCTGGCCTTGGGATCCCGGCGCGTTCAAGGCAAGGACTTTAGCCACTAGGCCATGCTGCTGGGCCCTATCTATCTATCTATATCTATTTATCTATTTATTGTTTCTGAAAGGCAAAAGGAGAGAGAGAGGGAGAGGCAGGTAGAGATCTTCCAGTGACTGGTGTTCACTCCCCAAATGGCTGCAGTGTCCAGAGCTGAGCCAGTCTGTAGCCAGGAGGCAGGAACTTCATCTAGGTCTCCCATGGGGATGCAGAGGCCCAAGTACGTGGACCATCTTCTGCTTTCCCAGGCGCATTAAAAGGGAACTGGACAGGAAGTGGAGCAGCTGGGGCTTGAACTGGCGCTCAGATGGGATACCGGCGTCACAGCAGAGGCTCAGGTGGCAGTCTCAGATTTCATGCATTGACTCCCTCGTCCCACACGTCTGAGTTCTTCAGGGTGTCCACATCTGCCTTTCTGGGGGGTTATCACTAGGAGCCTCATTAAGCATGTACACAGAAATGAAACGGCAGAATAGAAAGAGTATTGTGCAGAATTCAGACCACTTGATTTCTACTCGAGGTCCTACCGTTCTAACACAGTTGCTCAGGAATGACCATGGGTCACAGTGGAAGGCCATGGGAATAGGAGAGGGAAACGAAGCTTCTTACGTGTTTTTAATGTAAGTGGTAGATGTCAGTTGAATGTGCTTATGGGAAGAGCAGCCCAGGGAGCTGTGAGGGTGTGCTAGGTAAAGTTAGGGGGATTGGAGGAAACTAGACTGGAAGGGTGGGTGGGAAGGAGGCTAGCTTAGGAACAGCTTGTATCACCTCCTGTCAGTGAAAGATTCATAATTAGGACGGATCATAAAAGAAGCGCTAATGTTAACTTGCTGTGGGCTTGAATTTAATACATGTTCATTCTTAGTTTAGTCTTAGCTTGCTAATTCATACAGAGTCTGTGTTGGTGTCATGTCATGCTAAGTTGGTCAAGAACTTGCTTTTTGTGTTGAATGTAGTCATTCCTTTTCTACATTGCTCTGTTCGGTCTGCCCGCCCTCAGTGCTCCCAGGAAGACATTGCGGAGAAGCTGGGTCTGGACATCTCTGCCACACAGGCGGTCCACATCAGCAATCCCAAAACAGCTGAGTTTCAGGTAAGTACTTCAAGTCAGAATTTCGGAAAAAATGAAGAGTCTGAGTACATCAGACTGAGTTAGGAAAAGTCACTTGAGTTATACCTCAGATTGTAAATTAGAGCAACTTAAAAATGTTAATAGAAGTGTATGCATTAATATTTTTATTTATTTATTTTTGAGAGGCAGACAGGTGTTCACTCTGCAGATGCCTGCAGGAGCCAGTGCTGAACTCAGCGCAGGTCTCCACCGTGGGTGGTGATGGGGACAGTTACCTTGGCCCGTCGCCTGGCCGCAGGTCTCCACCATGGGTGGTGATGGGGACAGTTACCTTGGCCTGTCGCCTGCTGCCGCCTGGGATGCACATTGCAGGAACCTGGGCCTGGGAGCGGAGGCAGCACTTCAACCCAGGTGATGGACATCCCAAGTGATGTCCTAATTGCTACCCAAAACGTCTGCCCCTAGAACGTTGTTTGTCTCTTAAAAAGGGATTTGAAAAGCAGACTTAGAGCGTGAGACAACTCTTGCATCCACTGCTTCGCGCTCCACATGGCTACTACAGATAGGTCTTGGTCCAAGCTGACAGTCAGGGATCTAGAATCTGGGTCTCACAGGTGGGTGGCAGGAGCCCAGATATTGAGTCTTTTCTTTGCTGCTTTCTCAGGCGCATGAGCAGGGAGCTGGATGAGGAGTTGGGCGGCCAGAACTCACTCATACCGGTGTCACAGGTGGTGGCTTAGTTCATGTGCCACAGTGCTGTTCCCCTTGGCCCTAGAATGTTTGTGTAATTCCTTCTGGGATAAGTTTATGGTTGGTTCTTAAAATGTTCTGAAAAAGTTGTGAACTCTTGTTTTATAAGTTTTTTCTCAATTAAGTTGGTTTTTAACATTTATGCCATGTGGCCAATCTTTTCTGACTAAACTTTGTATTTATAATTGATTTATAAAATCGTATTTTCAGATTTCATCTGTTTTTCATTCATTTCGAATGAATGAATCAAAACCTGTTCCCAGTACTTCTAAAAGTCATTCCTGTTCCAATTAGCCATTTCATCAGTTCTCAATCTGTTGCTCATGCATTGTTCATAATTGTATAAATTTATTTGCAATTACACGCAGAGCTTAGGAAGATTAAAATGTGAATAATTCTTTAATAGTAAATGTTAAATAAGTTATGTTATAGATGACAATATGAAGGGACTGGCACTGTGGTTCAGCTTCAGGCTCTGGGCCATCCTCAACTGCTTTCCCAACCACAAGCAGGGAGCTGGATGGGAAGTGGAGCAGCCGGGACGTGAACTGACACCCTTGTGGGATCCTGGCACGTGCAATGTGAGGATTTAGCCACTAGGCTGTCGCACCAGGCCCCTGTTGATTTTTGAGTAGGGGGCTGCATGATGAGATTTTAGTCTTAGAGTACCATTCTGAGAAGAGAATGGAAGATGTCTACTGGGCTCAGAAGCTAGCCTACAATTGTTCAGTAGTCCCGACCAAAGAAAATGGTGCTTGAAATCTGCCAGCCGAGCCTGACATTAGTGTCCTGTCGCTTCCTGTAAAGCCTTGCTGTGAGATGTGTGCAAAGCTGTGATCCAGCTGAAAGTGAGACCATTGTTTCTAAGACAGGAAGCTTTCCTTTTAAGAGCTGAGAGACACCTTTATTATGAAGCATAGCAGTCTGTTGTGTTTCGGTAGCTGTAGTCTGCCCCTCACGGCTGGGTGGTGTCCTGAGCACCTAACGCACTAATATCTTGTGTTCCATATTTGAGTTGCTTTTGTAATTTTTTCTGTTCTTAGTTTTTTAAATGCTTGTGCTTGTCATAGCAAAGTTCAATAACTTTGTGAAACGAGACAGAACTTGAGAATTTATGTGTTTAACATCTTTGTGGAGACAATTTTGGTTTTAAAATAATGAAAAATTAGCCAATCCTGGTAAGAGTAGTCTTATTTAGATTCTTTTCGCTTTGCACATTTTAAAAATCAGATTTGATCTTTAATTTAATAAATTTGGAAGTTAGTGTATTTTAACCCTTTCGGTGCCTTGGAGCGGAGTGTTTTCATGGAGTCTGGTGTCTTGTGGGGCATTCATTGCGCTGCCTGCCTGGAGGCCGGCCCGCCTTGCGTCTTCACCCAGGCCCGGTTTGCGATTGCTTGGTGCGATTTCCTGTGTTTTCCTCTAGGTGGCGCGCACTACCCTTCTTCCTGGCCTCCTGAAGACCATAGCAGCGAATCGCAAAATGCCTCTGCCTCTGAAACTCTTTGAAATTTCTGACATTGTGATAAAAGACTCTACTAAAGGTAAGAATGAGTCATCTTTGGTTTGTGTACTGCAAGCGTTTATTTTTTAATTCATACAGTTTTAACAGTCTACAGAAGTAGAGAAGCGTAAGTCTCTCCCACTGTGATCCAGCACCCAGCTTCAGCAGTTACCAGCACCTGGCACCTTCTGTCCGCAGATTCACTCCCCAAATGGCTACAACAGCTAGAGCTGCACCAGTTCGAAACCAGAAGGCAGGAGCTTCTTTCAGGTCTCTCACATGGTTGCAGGGGCTCAGGACTTAGGGCATCTTCCAGTATTTTTCCCAGGCATGTTAGCAGGAGAGCTAGATTGGAAATGATGGAGGTGGGACTTGAACTAGCACCCATATGGGATGCCTGCACCACACGTGGACTCAGCCTACTAAGCCATGGTGCAGGCTTATATTTCTGAAATAGGAGCTTGGGTTCTTTTTTTCCTTGATATTTACGCACTTTATCTGAAAGAAAGAGAAAGAAGCACAGAGGAATCTCCTCTCTGCTGGCTCACCTTCCACTGGCAGCAGCTGGGAGTGGGTCGGGCTGAGGCTGGGAGTGAGGAGCCTGGGGACCCGGTTACCGATGCCTGCTGGTTTCCAGGGTACGCATTAACCGGAGGGTGGAGAGGGCAGCAGAGCTGGCAGTAAGCCCAGGTACTCTGACAGGGGACAGAGGTGCCCCAGGAGATGGATGGCTGGCAGCTGCACCAACACCTGTCCTGGTTGCTTTAGATAACCTTCTTTTCATCAGATATCTACAAAGTGTTTACATTTTCCCAGTTCTTTCATAAAATTGCTTTTTATGATTAATTTAATTTATGTGCTCATAGATTTGATTACCGTGTGTCTCATTTCTTTAAACGGCAAGCACAGTTGAACAAAGGTTTGATACTGTTTATGAAGAGTCCTACTAAAGGTCTCCGCGGAAAGTGCTTTTCCTTCATCACAGGTGATATTCATGTTGTGTTGTTGGGTTCTCTGGTTTTATTAGAAAGGCAGAGTTACAGAGAGCAGGAAAGACGGAGGTCTTCCATCCATTGGCTCACTCCACAGATGGCTGCCACGGCCAGAGCCAGGGCTTCCTTCAGGTCTCCCACACGGGTGCAGGATCCTGAAGACTTGAGCCAACCTCTGCTGCTTTCCCAGACCATAAGCAGGTTGCTGGATGGGAAAGGGAACAGTTGGGATGCGAACCAGTGCCTGTATGGTGTGCTGGCACCACAGGCTGAGGTTTACCCTAGTACACCACAGTGCCAGCCCCTTATTCATATCACTGTAATGTACTAGTATCTTGCCATTCTGTGTTAGTGGCACACGGCCCGGTATAGTGGGTGTCCCAGGGATGATGGGTACATTTGACTAGTTTTTATTCCTTTTGAGTATACTTTGCACTTACTAATACAGCAGATTGCTTGGTGCAGCACTTGGAACATGGTGGTTATTTAAAGTACCTAAGCTGAGTTGCCAGGAAAGTCTATCTTGAACTCCATTTCTGGAGCCAGCCTCTTCTGAGTTATATCTGCACCAGTCCTTTGGTAATCAGGAGGTCAATTGACTGAATTGCTGGCAAAGTGTCTTTGGGGCCCAGCGCTGAGGCCTAGTGGTTAAAGTCCTCACTTTGCATGCGCTGGGATCCCATATGGGTGCCAGTTGTTATCCTAGCTGCTCTGTTTCCCATCTAGCTCCCTGCTTGTGGCCTGGGATGGCCCAAAGCCTTGAGACCCTGCACCGCATGGGAGAGCTGGAAGAAGCTCCTGGCTTGTCAGCTCAGCTCCGGCCGTTGCAGCCACTTGGGGAGTGGACCAGTGGATGGAAGATCTTTCTCTCTGTTCCCTTCTGTGTAAATCTGACTTTCTAATAAAAATAATAAATCCTTTTTCTGAAAGCTTCTTTGGTTCCATGGAGTGTACAAATCAATTCCTAACCGTTTATTCAGTGATTTTGCAATTCAAAGTGTCTTGAAAGACTTTCTCTTGATTTCTTCTGAAGAGAGTACTAGGCATTCTTAGCCACCCAGAGTAGGCAGCAACTGTGAGACCATCCTAGGAAATAGATGTGATGAGGACCACTTTGCCCGTCATGTGGCTCGGTAGCAAATTTCTCATCCAAAGCTGGATCTGTTTGCCAACATTGTTCTAATTAGCATATTGGGAAATGAAGATTGGAAAATGGCTGTTTGCCCAGGACTGCATAAGATTGGAATTGGAGCTCAGTAACGTGTCCTTAGAGAAAAAAGTTCATTGAGTTCCTTTTAAAAATATTTACTTTTATTTTTCTGGAAGCCTTAGTAGCAGAAAAGGAGGGAAGGGGGAGAGAGGGAGAGAGGGAGCGAGGGAGCGAGGGAGCGTACTCTTCCCTGCACAGGTTCCCCCCAGATACCTGCAGCTGCTGGGGCTGGCCCTGGCTCAGGCCAGGATCCCCAAACTCCACACGGGCCTCCACCCAGGGTGCAGCGCCCCACATCTGTGATCCGTCGCCTGCTCCTCCCGGAGTACAAATTAGCAAAACGCTGGATTGGAAGCAGAGGAGCCATAAGTGGAACCAAGCTGAGAAGTTCATTCCAAGTCAGTCTGTGTGCAGTTCTCTTTGGTGGTGCATCTGCTGTGATAGAAGCAAGGCTGTTTTGGTGCCGGCTGTGAATAGTTCCCAGTGTTAAGGTGACTCGGATTATCATCACTGTTACAAGAGAACGGAGAATTTGTCACAATTCCAATGTGTAATTTTTCTGTTAACCTTAAGTTATTTCATTTAGTCTTAGTTCTTTGAGTTCTGTATTATTTTGATCCCCGGTGATATGCTAATGTTTATAATACAGGATTAGATTAACTGTATAGGTTTCCTCAAGAATTTTATAAAATGGTTTCAGCAGTTGGCTTCTTTCCTTAGCAGCCTGAGAGCTCTGCAGGCCTGGGCTTGCTCACAGGCAGGCGGCTTCGAATCTGCAGGAGGAGGAGGCCGGTGGTAGGGTAGATGTCCTTCGTCCTGGGCAGAGGTGCCTGTGTGTTGAGAAGGGCTAGGACCCTGCTCCTCAGCCGTCCCCAACGCCTTGCTTGGAGTTGACGTCCCTGCTGAGACATGCTGTTCCTGCAGACTGGTGCTGGTGGCTGTTCTGAGTGATCACTGCGCAAGTGCAGCCCGTACACTTCCGGGCTGGAAGATGTGCATCTGTGTGGTACTTTGCTTCATCAGGCAGAATCATTCTTGTCTGTAACAAGCCTCTTCTCTCTCTGCTCTTCCCGTTGCTGCACTCCGTTTCCCCCTTGATTCATTTCCGTAGGATAGGATTGCCGCCTGCTGTCTTGTACTGGTTTACACTTTTGCTTTGAAATTTTCTATCATATCAGTGGAATTTCAAGAATGAAGGGAGGCTAATGTGCTCAGTAAGTCTACCATCTTGAAAACTTAGATTTGCTTTAACTTATAGGAGTATGTTTTCTGTTTAGATAGGCCTGGATTTTATTTCATAACAAACGGAGTTTTTCTGAAGGACTGTTTTAAACATGTCCATGTGGATTCCCTGCCCGTCATCTGGCATGCGTAGAAGGCTCTATAGGAGAGGCAGCGCCGTGGCTCTGTGGACTCTGTGACCCGCGTGGCTCGTTGGGTCCTGGTCCTGTCAGCTGACACGGCTAACAGGCAGTGTTGATCTGATCTGATTTTTCCGTTTCTAGTTTGTTATATATCCAGTGGCGTTAATGATAGCACTTACTTCTTAGATTTGTTGCAAGGAGGAAATGAAATTACATTTTGAAAACATCTAGCCCTACAAGGAGCACTGTTTGATATTAGCTCTTATTTTTAGGGTGTTAGCAGTCTGTAAGGCCAGAACTTCTGGAATGAGAATTTTTCTGATAGAATGGTGTGAAAGTCTCAGCTAACCAGTGAGGTGTTAGTTTCACCTTGCTAAGGATCTGGGTGCTGATTTTTGCCTTAAACTCTGAATTAACTTTTTTTTCCCCTGCTGTGCTTTATCATCATCATCATTATTTACAGTAAGAAAATGAAAACATAGTAATGTTGGAGTCTACTTAAGAACCTAGGAATGCTATTTTTTGAGTAATGCATCACTCACTCCTCAATGAATTGACATGTTTCTAGTGTCTCTAAAACCAAGAGCCACTTCCCTGTTGAAGTTACCTGAGCCATTTCCTCTGAAACAGTGGAACGTTTTTGGAGAAGAAAACCCGAGGCTTCAGAAGAGAAGTGATGGAGGAGTGTGCCGAGTCCTGCGCACGTCTGGTTTTCACAGCTGGAGCAGTGGTGGATGTGTGGATGTGTGAGGCAGGAGGGAGTCAGCCAGTCCTTTTTTTTTTTTCCATTTTTTTTTTTACTTCTTTTTATTATTATCATCATTTTAAGATACAGTTCCATAGGCCCTGGGGATTTCCCTTATCCCCTCCCCAATTCTCTTCTCCCTCACTGAGTTCCCTGTATCATTACTATAGGATAGTTCTTCATACGCTGTCATATGTCCATCATTGCCGCCATGGACAGTGAAGCCAGCCAGTTTTGTCTAGCACATTGCTACAAAGTATCCTTTGAGTTCCTCTTTGCTAGGGTCACCTTGGCAATGTATGAGAGGAGACACAAGCAAATTCTTGGAGTTTGTGTTCAGGGTATGTGATGGTGTCCTGTTTAACAGAGAGTGGAGGAGCTGCTACTCTTACTAGTTTTAAGATCTTTTTGTTTATTTTGAAAGTCAGCGTTACAGTGAGAGGAGGAGAGACGGGAGATGGGGGAAGGGGTGGCTCTCCATCCACTGGTTCACTCCTCAGATGGCAGCTGAGGCCAGGAGCTGAGGGCTTCTTAGGAGTATCTCATGTGGGTATCAGGGTTCCAGACACGTGAACAATTTTCTGCTGCTTTCCCCTCTAACCATTGGCGAGGAACTGGAGCAGAAATCGGACATCCTTTAGTTGGCACCTGTGTGGGGTCCCTGTGACTTTACCTGCTATAACATGGTGCCCCATCGCTTGTTTTGTTGTACTAAGGAACAGCCCCAAA